CCGTAGGATCTGCGTTGACAAATCTCTCCCCAGACCTTCGCCTTTCCTGACTCCATTTACCAGTCCGGGTCAGAGATGTCGGGTGTATTACAGATGCCCAAACCCGCGGCCGTAATACCCCTGCCCTCCCACCTAACCTCTTATGCTGAGGTCACATTTCCAAACCGGGGCCCGACCGGGTTTCAATCAATGAAAAATCAACAATTAACCCCAATAATATTTTTTTTGCTTTGTTGTCTGTTTTATCGATATCATAGTTTCTGTCCCCAAATTTGCCCGTTTTGGAAATCTGGCCTAAGCATTATCCACCGAAGACAATGTCCACTCATCTGGCCGATGGACACTGCCTTGCCACCGTGGGATCTGCGTTGACAAATCTCTTTTCAGACCTTCGCCTTTCCTGACTCCATTTACCAGTCCGGGTCAGAAATGTCGGCTGTATTACAGATGCCCAAACCCGCAGCCATAATACCCCTGCCCTCCCACCTAACCTCTCACCCACCGCGCTATTAATTCTCCTATCTCTTCTGCCAAGAAGAGCTCCAACCGATATTTGGCCACAGCAAGTAAATTTTATGGATGACATCCTCCGCAGACTCCAAATCTAATGCGAGCGGGCGAAAAAAACAAACAAGGCGGGCAGAAAAAAACAAGGTTCCTACATTTTTTAAATTATGACTCAATCATTGTACAAATGGTTTTTATTCAGTGGGAACATCACATGTACACAGCCAGCATCACATATCTCTGCATTAAAGTAAGAAACGAAACATTAAATCAGAGCCTTTCTTGTCTCCTCTCTTCTATCTGCCATCCAGCTTCCGACATGGCAACAGACATCTTTGCCCATTTTCGGGATGTTGACCACTGTCAGAGGGCAACAATTTTTTTTTTCAAAATCAGGCGAAAATTAATGCGCGCGCTGATGTCATCCATAAAAATTACTTGCTGTGGCCTAGGTGCCAAAGATCGGATGGGCCTCATTTCTTCTTGTCGATCCCTGCTCGAGGCTAAATCAGATAGAAGTATTATACCTTATCTGTCATCTCTGAGGACGGGGTAGTACCGTGGCGACTTCAGGCGCTGTAAATGGGATTCGATTCTTCGGTAAGGCCGCACTGATTTAATTTTATGGATGGCATCATCTGTATCTGTATCTGTATCTGTATAGCCGGTATAACCGCCTTTCGGCGTAACACACCAGCTTCGCAGGCACGCGGCGCGGCGGCAGCTGGCTATATTACACCGATCTGGAGACCTAAAAAGTAATGCGAGATGGCGAATAAAAAAAAGCTGGCGAAAAATGCTGCTAAACCACGAGAAAAAAACGTGGCGACTTCAGGCTGTGTAAATGGAATTCGATTCTTCGGTAAGGCCACATTGTCTTAATGTTATGGATAACATCGTCTTGAGACACAAAAACTAATGCGAGAGGGTGAATAAAAAAACGGCCAAAAGTGCTGCACATTTTTTTTCAGAACCAGGCAAAAATTAATTGACAGAATCTTTATTTGCACTTCATGCCCATGGGAAAGAAAATACATTCTATCTACATCCTAATCTAGGTCCTGAAGATTTCTTCTCTCTTTTTAAAGCAATTGGAGATGAATTCACAAAGTTTTTCAATTGTGTGGTCATTACTGGTAGACATGCGATTACTAGAATTTGTTCTACCTTTACACGGTTAAAATAATGCGTGTATACTAGTATGTATGTCATCCATAAACCTAAATCAGTGTGGCCTAAGTAAGCACCACTACAGACGTGACTGCTCCTAAACCCTGAGATTGGAATTCTTACTCAAACTAATTCATACATATGGTCAGACAGGAGTCTAAATCCCTCCTGCTATAAAATTGCAACATGATGTAACCCAACACTAGTTACCATGGTGACAGACGTCTGGTTCAGGTCACTGACCTTCTTGGTTTGGAGCAGAAGAGGAAACGTAGCAAACATAATAAAGAAAAATCAAGGTGCGTGGATGTCATCCACAAAATTAAATCAGTGTGGCCTAAGCATCAGTACAGTCGTGACCACGGTTTAACTCTGAGATTGGAATTGACCGCCGTTTCGTCTCACTCGCTACAGATTTGTGCTCCTGTCAATTTCTGTCGGGTAAAGAACCGAAAGTTCCGCGGAGGATAATCCGTACAGACGTGGATCCATGACGGGTTGTCGATAGCGCCTGTCCTACCCGCAAATCCCGGTAATGATGGTCAGCGGTCGATACAGGCCGAAATACTGACATCGGTGTCGAGACAGGAGGTTTTGTCTCTGTTATGAATGAAATGATAAGCACTAGTGCTTTGTACTTTCATTAAAACTTACAAAAACTGTGCAGTGTGCCATGTGTTTGTGAGGTTGTATGAAGGGATTTTCGCTATGGTCATGTAGAATGCTTAGGAGAAATTGACTCTGACAACGCAATGTTGTTGTGATTCATAGCAACTTTTTTGGGGCAACTGGCAATCTTTTTTGGGACTTAAAATTTTTAAGAACAGGTTAGACATCCAGGTACTGAGATACACAAGAAGAGATACTCTAGCAACTGGATAGCTTTTGAAAACTGTCAGAAATTTGAAACACTGGTTATACGTGACCTTTCTTGGGTAAAAGAAATTGGACACAGATATTGTGTTACACTTCATGTAACTGTTACACAACTGAAAACACCGATAAAGATGATTACGTTCTAGTTTATACGGACCATTTTATAGCTGCACAGTCCTTTTACTTTCAGGTTCAAAGAAAGGTCAACCTCGGATCGGAAGTAAGACAGAGTAGAGAGACATTTAGACTAATTGATTTGAAAGATTAGAGGCAAGAATCCCCACCGACTGACGGAACACGGTACGTAAATTACAGATGAACTTCATCGACTTCGATGCGAGTACAAATTATACTTAATATAAACATAACGGATCGATACACTCGTATTTTCCAAGAACTATCGCAGAGTGGAACTCGTTGCCATCAAGCACAGTAGGGGCATCACTAGATAGCTTTAAACAACTCCTGCAATTAAATGTGCAAAGATTGAGTGTAACAAGTCGTTCGGTGCGATACAGCCAGCTGCCGCCGCACCGCGTGCCTGCGAAACTGGTGTGTTATGCCGAAGGGCGGTTATACCGGCTGTACAGACACAGATACATGTTGCTGCAACCAATGTGCAGCCTGGAATCCAGGCGTGAACGCTATTTCTGCATCATTCTGACTTCAAAGTATGCAGGTAGAACGCAGCGACTTTAGCGTCATGGCTGGATTGCAGGCTAAACAATTTTGCAGTATTGAGCCGGATACATATTTTCTGACATGAAATATTTTGTTTGATGGTTGTTGGCATGTGATGCGTTCTAATTGTGTGTGTGTGGCTGTCTGTGTTTGTGTACGTGTGCGCGCATGTATGCGTGATTATGTGCGTGGATGTATGTGTGGATGGCGTTCAGCACCAAGGACAGGGCCCGTACAACGTCCTAGTGTATCAATCAAGTACATTTCTAAATTCCACACGAATGAACTGGACAATGTAATAACTGGGGTGGGTGATGTTCCAGACAGAATCACAAGGCGGCGCTTTTTGCATGTGTCCTACCTGAGTTGCGGAACATGCCACGAACATCTAGTTGGGCACGCAAGTACCAATTACGAAAATGTCAACAAGATAGGAGGACAAAAGGTAGGCTTGGGCTGTATCAAGGCTAGGGACAGGGAGGATAAAACGACTATGTGTTTAATCATACTCTACGATAACCTGAGTTTTCCCTTTTGTTTGTAACAGCTGTGAAGATCTAAAAATAACTCATGGAAAACCCCAACTAGAGCATCATGGGATTCTTTAACCCTAGCGTAATAACTTCCTCATATGTTACGTGGTATCGTCATATCTTACGTTTCCGTCTTTGGAATTGAGAATTCACAGTGGATCGTGGTGACAGAAACTCGCCTCTAGAAGCTTCTCTACTGTGAATACATACCTGTTAACCTGTCATGGTTCGTAATGTGACTTAACTGGGAAAACGCCAGGTGAGCCAGTCGTCATGTTAGCAGATCATGTTGCAATCTCTCTGTATCTGTATCTGTATTGCCGGTATAACCCCACTTCGGCGTAACACACCAGCTTCGCAGGCACGCGGCGCGGCGGCAGCTGGCTACATTACACCGAACGACATGATACTAGCCCTTGAACATGTAACTCTACACATTGTTTAAAGCTATCTAATGATAATACCCCTACTGTACTTGGTGACAGTCTAGACCTTATATGTGATTTTCCTCTCTGTTTTATACTAGTGGGAGTTTATGCCGAATGTTAAGAAATTGACTAACTTATTAAAATCACTTCTATAAGAAGTCCACCAGAGCAGGAAGAAACACTTTCCCTTTAACCTTTTCAGGTATGTGATGAGTCATTGAACACACAGATACCGCCCCCGGCTTTTTAAGGTCATCTGACACTGTACTGTGTATGACTGGTTGTTGGGGGAGGGGTAACTAAAATAATCTGACATTTATCAAGGTTAGTACCGAGTAGTTTGATCTTGGCCTGCTTTAAAAAGTGTTTGTAAAAAGAAGAAATATGTTTCCTTTTAATGAATCTCTAATGCCTAAATACCTTTCTGTTTGGCTTCGAACAAGAACGTAAAATTGTCAGCACTTCCGTGGTTGTGCAACACCTCATCTGATTTTAATTTTGCAGACTATTATGTGAACATCTATATTTTATTTCAATGTAGCATATTCTAACCACATTATGCTTAGAACTTTAACTTTTTTTTTACAAAAACATCATATTCAGATATTCACTGGGTATCACCAACATAAACCATGATGTGATACCGGGATATGTTACGTCATACGATCCATTCTATGACGTAATTCAATCAGGTACGATCATACAATACAGTTCCAATACAGTCCATGATGCCCAAACACTCCCAGAAAGTCTAAACTCTCTGACTACTCGTTTTCATTTTGCAGATTTTTAACCCAACATTGCGATGGCGTCCGACACACATCTTCTGTTCCTGTTCCTCTATCTGACCATGCTGACACCGAGCCTTCAGCAGCAGTGTCCGTCAGCGTGCAGGTGCCCTAGCGAAACTGAGGTGCGCTGCAGCAACGCAGGCCTTACCGCAATCCCTCCCGACATACCCACGACCGTGGAAAAACTATTCTTAGACGGTAACCACATCAGCGAAGTCAACAGCTCTCACATCTCAGCGTTACCTCATCTTATAGAACTTAACCTACCAAGAAACAGAATTAGAAGCGTGCAAAACTTTGCAAACTTGCCAAATTTGGAGATTCTAAACCTCGCTTCCAATAACATCTCTTACGTGGACGCCGACACGTTTGAAAACTCTACAAGGTTGAAATATATCTTTCTGAGCAAGAACAGCCTGACCTCCGTACCGACCGGCCTAGAGCGGCTGGACAATTTACAGATTTTGACGCTAGACGAGAACAACATTCGCACTGCGAGCGCCGCGTTTCTAGTTAGTCTAGGATCCATTCTAAGGATAGACCTACACAACAACCCCTGGTCGTGTGACTGTCGTCTGCGAGGTTTTAAGCAATGGGTGTCAGAAACATCTGCAGAGATCTCACTCAGGGAAAATGTCACGTGTGCCTCGCCGGAGAATCTCATTGGTCGAGCCATTGATGACGTACATGCTGACGACATGGTGTGCGCTACAACTGCTACCGTTGATAACGAGTCAACAAAAGGAAAAACAACAATAACAACAAAAACAACGTTAACAACAACAACGACAACAACAGATGTGGATGTACACAGTGCGAGATCAACTATTATATACTCCAGTCTGTCTGCAAAAGCCGTGGCTAACACCGACAAAACAACAGACACTCACAGTGTCACCCTCAACCCGCAATACCATACAACAACTATAGCTGAAGAGGACCAATATTCTCGGACAAAGGCCACTAAACCTCTTATTACGCCCGAGTCTACATCAGTCGATAGACCCTTGGACAAACACAAACCATGGATCATCCTGGCCTCTGTCGTGGGAGCACTGTTGGGAGTGGGGTTGTTACTTCTGTGGTACAGACATAAGCCAGACCGAGGAGGAACCCCCGGCGATGGCCAGCACAATGTCGGGTACACACCAGACCCTGATGGGCAGGAGGTTCACATTGGTATCGGGGAGGATGAACCGGGACCTCAGAGGCCGAATATGGAGGTTTGTTTGTCTGTTTGTTTGTTTGGGATGTCCATTAGTGTGAATTTCACACTACTCTTCCTGGAGTCCGTAGTGAATAATCAGATAGGTATTTGGACCATCGCACCCCTACTCTTTTTCGAAAGGTGTGGTGGGTTCTTTAACGTGCGTAGGGTGTGTCTCTCCCCAAACACGGGACCTCCATTTAACGTCCTATCCGAGGGACGTCCCTAACCAAAGCTAGGTACTCATTTACACCTGAGTGAAGTGAGGAAAGTCGTGCCTTTCCCAAGGGCACAAGATCGGTGACAAGGTGGGGTTCGAACCCGGGACCTCTTGGTACATGTAGGGTTCACTCTTTTCTTAGTCAAGGGACTATTTAGAAAAAAATGAAAAAAAACAACAACAAACTTCTAACTAAAGAATTGGAAAATATTCGTTGATTAATAGAATATACCTTACAATTAAATTAAAAGAATGTCTAGCAACGTCTAAATTTAATGTATCAGCATGTGCTGAAGAAAAGGAGTGTGATGTTTTTCTACTTTGTGTCTTGCCCATTTGACGTGACTTTGCCTGTGCATGTTTTATAATTATACTGCTGTCGATGTTTTTGATTCTTGTAGGACAATGTTGTGACTGAACGGCAGCTCAGAGCTCTGGCTACAAAACTGGGGGCGGAATGGGAGCAGCTCAGTACGGAACTCGGCTTCAGCCATGGAGAACTCTACCAGTTCAAAGAAGACAACCCACGCAACGTGCGGCAAGCTATATTTGTGATGTTGGCTACATGGCGCGAAAATCGTGGCCAGGAAGCCACCATAGGTCGCCTCGTGCAACACATGAGGAACGTTAATATAGATGAGGAAATCTACGGGGTCTTGTTAAGAGATCCAGACTGATCATTCTAAGCGTTTTTATTAAATCAATTAACAAAGAACGTTGTATCGCTTAAACAGCTACGCATACATACCATCATACAAGCAATAAGACTATCAAGACTATAGCAATGCAATGGAGCAAGAATGTTCTGGGTTCTTATCAAGTTAGAACAAAGCACAACTCCAAAAGAAATTAAGACAGATATGCAATTAAGTTTGGCCTGATTATTCTAAGCCTTTTTATTAAATCGCATTGGTATTTCATCCAAGAATGCTATATTGCTAAAAGTATCTACAAGCAATACGGTAGCATATAGTGTAGCAACAAAGCAAGACCATGATCTGTTGTGTTTTAAAACAAGTACAAGTATGCTGTTTCATTCTGTACATTGAGAAGGATGACATTTATCTAAAGGTGTATCTCTGTCATAAGTTCTTTACATGTACGTTTGTCCAATAACCAGGAGAATATCTTTTAAATCAGGACTTTACAAACCATTTACCATTACTTGTAACCTTATGATAAAAACATCTTACTCTTTAGTGATGATTAATCAGTGACACACTCAATTAATAGAAAGTTTATTGCAAGTTCCTGCTCGTAGGCTAATTGCAAGTACATGTAACATGAATATTAAGGATGGACAATGGACAATAATATAGTGTGTGACTACTCTAATAATTAAAACACTTCTAAAACGATTTGATATCAAAACCTTACAACAGGGTACCTTTCGAACCTTTGTTATCGCTGGTAACTTCAATATCTAAAGTTATATATATGAACATTACCAACAAGTTTTACTGTACCAGGAGATATACCCAGACTTTATCTTTCTTACAATGAAAGATGAAAAGTTGGTGATGGATTCCATGCCACAAATTACATTTTTTTGTGTCGTTCTTAGAAGAATAAAGAGATTGAAGGGTTAAAATCTTACACAGTAAACGAAATATAAATATAGTACTTAGCATCCGCCATCTTGAATCATGTCTAGATGTAAAAGGTCACACAGGTCACGTGACCAGACGAGGGTGGGTCATTCTTGCTTGAGTTACATCTTCTGTTGCGGGTAGGCCGCATCCTGTGGGTAAGCAGGGGGTCCAACTGGATAGGCTGGAGCGGGGTACTGGCCGGCTCCAGGGGGGTACTGGCCAGGAGGGGGGTATTCCCCGCTTGGAGGGGGGTACTGGGCAGCTGGAGGGGGGTATTCCCCGCCTGGAGGGGGGTACTGGCCTGGAGGGGGGTACTGGGCCTGGAGGGGGGTATTGGGCCAGGCAGGAGGGGGGTACTGGGCTCCCGTCAGGGGGTGGGTAGGGCTGGGCTTGGGGGGCGGTGGGGTACTGGCCCGGCTGTGTTGTCATAGCCATCTGCTGACCTGTGTACGGAAAAACAGACTTAATTCCACAACAATTGTACAAGGTACAATACATGGTATAGTATAATACTGCTATATAACAACGAACATACGCACTATGAGACTGATGAACCTTGCAACGACTATATAGTATTGGATGAGAATGTGCAATAATAATTATGATACGAGTAACACTCCTAAACACAACTGATGTACCATTGAACTGTACAAAGCACTTTGATGGTGAGCTTATACCAAAGAACATGGAACATTTTAGGCTATCTCAAGAAGAACAATGATGAGGAAAATTAAAGCCTATTACATACATGTACATTAAGTCATTAAATTCTGGACAGTAGCCAAATTAAACTTTTCTAGATATAGCTAGCATAAGTACTAGAATTGGCTTCTTTGTTACAATCAGTAGTATTTGAATTAGTCTATAATTGTTACAATCATTGTTCTTGTCACATGTATGTCACCCTAGTATGTCTCTTACAAATACAAGTCCAAGAACAGGTACGAACTTGCAAGTAAACTTCCAATGAAACTGCAAAATTATAAGATTGCCTACCTTGATTTGGTGGCTGGTACACCTGTCCCTGGCTCCTGGTCTGTTTTGCGCACTGGCAGCAGCAGCAGACGCAAATAACCACCACAACAATCACCACAGCGATAACCGCCACGATGATACCCACTACCACTGCCGTGCTAAGGAAAGAACAGAACAGTGTCATTACCTTCGCCAAGAAGGTTATGTTTTTAGAGGCGTTCGTGTGTGTGTGTGTGTGTGTGTGTGTGTGTGTGTGTGTCTGTCTGTCTGTCTGTCTGTGTGTATCTGTAAACACAATAACTCGAGATTGCTTAGATGGATTGTCTTCATATTTGGCAGGTGGGTAGGTGGGTAGGTCTTGATGAGACCTCGAAATTATTAGATTTTGCCTTCCCCCCTGGCGGCTTGTTATGGCACTGCAGCTGAACGTCCGGTTTTGATATCTCATGACCTAGTTAGTTACATCTGACAGCAGCAAACACACACTACCACCACAACAATCACCACAGCTATAACCGCCACGATGATACCCACTACCACTGCAGTGCTGTAAGAACAGAACTATGTCATTAACCGAGACGGGGGCCGACACACACTACCACCACAACTATCACCACCGCTATAACCGCCACGATGATACCCACTACCACAGCAGTACTAGAACAAGAAAAAAAACTTTGCTTAAAGTCAAATCTTCAGATCCAATACAAAGACATTCTCTCACCTAGAGCTTCATTTTCTGTCCACTATACGTTTTATATTTGTTACCTCAACTTTGTGTTTATAGGTTATGTTTCTGCTATAAAATTGCAACATGATGTAACCCAACACCAGTTACCGTGGTGACAGATGTCTGGTCCAGGTCATTGACCTTATTTGTTTGGAGAAGAAGAGGAAGAAGAAACAGAGCAAAAACAAGATGTTTTCCTTCTGACGGAGGTAAATATAATAAAATAAGACAAGCCCATATGCAGACTAGATTTTGAAAGACACCTTTGTATCTAAACCTAGAGTTTTAATTTAGACTCAGCCTCTTCCATGTTGATGGGGAAAAAACAGAACCAATTGACCAAATATAATAGTTGAGAGGAGATAGCCGGCTGGATGAGCACAATTTACAACCTGGGGAAATGTACTCCTCTGGCATATCATTCACTGTCTACTTGGCCAATTTTTACTTTTTACCAGCGATCTTGGATGGTAAAACCTAAATTGATTGAATATGAACCTACCCCAGTCCTATGACGCTGTCCAGGATATTTGTACAGTCGCTGGTGTCGATGGCGTCCCAGCAGTCTTTGCAGCATTCCCGCGTTTTCTTACAGCAGTAGACCTGGTTATCGTCGTCATTGTTCCAGAAACCCAGGGTCTTCCGGGGACAGTGGAACCCGTACTCAGTACAGTACTCGGCCGCCGCTGGGGGAGGATGAACAAAGTGTATTTTACACAATTTCAAAGTGGTGTATGTCAAAAGTGTGAATGAAATTCTTTGGACATGTGTCCAAGGTATCCCCATACCGAATTTCAGGTCACTCGGATATAATAATAGGGCACAAGAGCAAAAAATGTAAATTTTTTGTCCAAAAATAGCCAAAAAGCCATATTTTACACAATTTTAAAGTGGTGTATGTCAAAAGCGTGAATGACGTTCTGTGGACATGTGTCCAAGGTATCCCCATACCGAATTTCAGGTCGTTCAGATTTAATACCAGGGCACAAGAGCCAAAAATGTTCATTTTTTTTGTCCAAAAATAGCCAAAAAGCCATATTTTGCACAATTTTAAAGTGATGTTTGTCAAAACCGTGAATGACGTTCTGTGGACATGTGTCCAAGGTATCCCCATACCGAATTTCAGGGCATTCAGATATAATACCAGGGCTCCTAATAAAAAAAAATCATCTAAGGGAAGTGAAACTACGTATTAGCCACCACGCCCTGGATACTGCCCTGTCAATTCTATACAGTCTTGTAGCCGGCGAGAAATCTGCTTGGTCATCACGCGAATCCAGGATCATTCTTGTCTACGCCAAAAAAGCAGTTACTCAAGCAAAAACTGGATATGATTTTGGAAACGGCCAGACGTTTCAGGTAGCATCCACTACTTTTCGCCAGTGACTACTAGTGGATACTAGCTGAAACGTCTGACCGTTTCCAAAATGATATCCAGTTGCTAGTGAGTAATTGCTTTTTGGCGTATCTTATTACCTGGATGGCTAACCTTCACCGACGTATTCTTGTCTACACCAAGCTAAGAAGTATGCGCGAATCCTAGTACACTCACCTGTAGAGAACAGCACTGCAAATACCAGCAACGCCGGCCGCAACATTTTACCGTCGACACTTCCTCTCAACACACAGACTCGGTAAAAAAATTCCAAATGTGTTTTGTGTCAGTCCTGGTCTTTGTTGATGACGTCACAAACCGGAAAGACGACCTGTCATCAGGTCGATGACCCCTTATTATATGTCACCTGTCGCTGACGTCACACGGGTGAGATTTTCATAACTCTAGATTTTGGGACACTGAGATAAGACAAGACGAGACAGTGCGTTTATTTTTGTGTCGCAACTATCTAGTTCCACAAAAAATAACACAAAAATCTGAAGGACTTTTTATGTCACAAGTCTGCATTGTTGGCTATGACAAGTAATATCGCTATAAATGTAGAAATTTCAAGATGATGCTATTTTCAAACAGTTTTATTTTTATTTTAGACATAACGAATATGCCCCCTTATTTGACTACTACATGTGTACTACAGAATTCTTTCAATCGCGAATTCAAAACAGCGCGAAACACCCTTAACTCTTACGATGAAATAAAAAAAAAAGGGGGAAATTTCTAATACACTTTCTGGATGCCTCATGCCTTCTCGGTAGCGCCTATTCATAACGCTTGGATGATTTTCTAGGTCATCTCATCAGCTGACAAAAAAAAGCAACAACCTGTTTCGCAATCTGCTTACCTGGGCCACAGATAGTTATGAACCTGTTCAAGAAAAAATCTCCGAGAGCGAAACTGTAGTAGTATGTGTTTTCTTAGTCATATCTTCTTCAAACAATCGCTAGCTTAGATCAAGGACGTTCTATTGTTATCGCGTCCTTGCTTTATGCTTCAACACGTTGAAAATGCCAAGTTAATTGCCCGGCCGAATGAGACAACAGAATGAAGTGTTGTTGTCTGCTGAAGTCGAGAAAAATGGCGTCGGAAGGAGACACAAAACCACGCCAAGACCAGGAGCATTCTGCTTTTAGACTCAAGAGGAGAAGAGTACTGAAATACTTTGTCGCCGTTCTAGTTGCCTGTACGATCGTTCACTTCTTTCTGTACATGTCACCAAGGTATGGCTGTTTTTATTTTACGTAGTATTTACAATCATCTAGTACTTTTAGTGATTATAGTTCGAGGCTTGGTAGTTGTTCGGTCACGCATCCGTTTTTTATTTGGGTCGTACAATTTCCAACGAAGCTATGACCGAACCAGCAGTAAGTATGTACGACAATTTTGTCAGTCAAAAGGCAGATAAATGATATAGACAACGTCCACGGTTGACCCAATAATGCCCCCATTTTTATGTCGTATTAAAACGCTGTAGAACGTATAGCAAAATGGCAAAACATTGTGTCCTTGGAAGAGCACTTCACACAGCTTTCTTCACTTCACCCAGGTGTAAAAAGGGGACCTGACTTCTGTTTTTGCTGGTAAAAGGCGGTGGGATGATAGGGATGGTCTCCACCTTCTCATACCGTACTCTAGACACAGTGGATTAACAATGCACTGCCCCTACACTCTTAAAAAGGCTATGACCTGCAGGTCGCTTTTCATTGGGGTCATGAGGTAACAGATAAGGGTCAGACAAAATATCTAACATACACTGATGCAGTTTACATCATTTAAAGTCCTAATGAAAACAAAGCACTTTGCTAACCATTGATGTACCTCATGTTACAAGAACTGACAGACTTTCCATTAGATTAAAGGTGGCGACGAAGGCGATGTCGCCTGCCCTACTCAGCCTTCTACGTAAAGACAACGCGCCGAGTTTGGGGGAACAGACAAGTGGAACAGCAACAAGCCTCCTACGTAAAGACACCACCCTGAGTTCGGAGGAACAGAGGCCAACAAGTCTCCTACGTAAAGAAAACGCGCTGAGATTGGGGGACCAGACAGGTGTAACAACACATCCAACACCCACCACACCATACACCACAGTAACCACCGCCCCTCCCGCTCCCTGGGTTTATAGTGCTGAGGAGATGAGAAAAATCAGGTCAGTGGACAGATACACTAATCTTCAAGCAGATCATACGGTGGCAAGGCAGTATCCATTGGCCAGAGGAGTGTCCAGTAGCCTCCTAGGATTAATATATACCACCGTTCGAACTATTCCTGTCATTTATATTTCGTATGATTGGTGAGAAAACTCCATTGGAAGTATTGTTTTGGGTGGCGGTAATTTATGCTGGGTATGTATGTTTCGATTCTGAAGCGAGTGGGCGGAGATTGGCTTTCAGTTGATTGACAGGGTTTTGATCCGGTATACCCTGGGTTTAAAGATGATGTCGCCAGAAATTTATAGACGTACATTGCGTGAATTTCATCATACACTGGTATGAGTAATAATTATTCCAGTATGTAATTCATAAATGCAAACTACATCTACTCCCTCAAGTTTGAAATCTCTGATTTCTTGTTCTACTATGTTTCTTGCTTTCCTACATTGGACATATGTAATTTAGAAAGAGTGGGAGACAGATTCAATTACAAAGAGTATTAGTATATATTCCATGCCCAAGTCTTCGTAAGAAGATAACCGAGTTTTACTGAATTTTCCAGGGTCGACACCCGAATGCTGCATCCGGACGTGCGACTCCTGACTCGCAAACTGGGCGTCTGGTCGGACAAACTCACCTGTCTGAAGAAAGCCGGACACACCTGCCAGGTAACGCTACTACGAAACTATTTCAGAACAGCCCGATTGTCTATCATTTCGTCATTTAGAAGATCACCAAAAGACTACGTTTCTACTAAGATCACAAAACCCAATAATTATGCAGAATGTGGGACTATTCATTATCTACTGCCTTCAAAGAAAAAGTCGAACCCCATAATAGCTAGCGTAGTACGAGTAGAAGTTTTTCCAGACAGATTGTTACCTGTCTCCTGTTACTGTATTGCAATGAGTATTATACTTGATTGTAAAAGCAATTAGCCTTCGGGCATGATTTTGCAAAGAATGTTTCTATATGTGACCCACCTTTTAAACAAGCAGTAACAGTGATAGCAAACAGTATATATGATCATAGAACGCTGACGAAGGCGACAGTGGTCGCTGAAAATTTGATCCCTGTACAATTGTGTGTTGGAATAAAGTTCACACTTTTACTATAAAATCTTTCATTCATCCATCAGTTCTTAAAACACTCCGTCGGCCAACACAAAACCTGCGCTGTCGTCGGTAACGGTGGGATCCTGTTGAACAGCTCCTGCGGTGCGGAAATTGACTCTAAAGACTACATCATCAGAATGGACCTTCCCGCTATACGGGGATTTGAAACAGACGTGGGCCGGAAGACCAACATTACATGTAATTGTTTTTATTTGTTTTTAAAACCTTATTTCCTATGAGTCGATTGACGAACAAGAATAATATCCGACTTATTTACGAAGGAAAATATATTGTTTTTGCTCAGTTTCTTCCTCTTCTTCTTCTCCAAACACTGACCTCTGACCTGAACAATGACATGATTTGTTGACGCCTGTCACCATGGTGACTGGTGTTGCGTTACATAATGTTGCAATTTCACGGTCTGCTCTGCTCCTGTCACCATCCATATACTAGTAGTACATGTATGTGAATGTGAAGAAGAAGAGGAAGAAACTGTGCAAAAAAATATGTTTTCCTTCGGTAAACATAAATGATATTACAGTTTTGAACACCAGCACGCCGAATAGGGTCGAACGGTCGTCTCTCCTGAGGAACAGGAGTCTTGACGTGTATGAGAGCCGTCTGCGGGACATCAACGGGTCGGTTCTAGTGTCGGGAGACAGACAGGTCAGTACTTTTGTTTCTTTTTTTTTTACTTAGTGGTCGCCACGTAACACAGCCGTTAGGCCACTTCAAGGTGAACGGTACCGGTGCTACCACCTGCATTGTATCACCACTCACCTGGGTTACGGGTTACCGAGTAGAACTGTAACAGCAACTCTTCTCCCTGAGCCAGAAACATCATGATTGAGACCAGCCCAATTTCTCACAAGTAGTGAGGACTAACTGACCCAATAGGAGAAGCAGGGGTTACGAGGCTGGTCGGGAAAATTCCCTACCCCATTTTTAGACCAATAAAGTCCAATTAAGACATCTTTAATCTTGACAGGAGATGACGGATCTTAAGAAAGCGATGGAGACGTACAAGACACACGACGTTCCGTTCTCCTTCGTCCTGCTGACCAGCCACGGAAGTTTGAAGTTGGGGCGTCTAATTCGCAGGTAAGGCAACACCAATTCAATTTGTTGTTTCTCGGATTTTTTTTTTAAATATGAAAAAAAAATCACCAACAGCGCTCCCTCCACCGCGGGTTACAACCCTGTCAATCAACCGAACCCAAATCTCCGCCCTATCATTTCCAATTCTCTGATACCTACCAAAACAATACTTCCGATTTTGATTTTAAGAATGTTCTTTTGATCATTTCTAAGGACCACTGCAAAGGTGCAGGGAAACCTCATCACCAGTAGCGCTCCCTCCACTGTGGGTAGCAACCCTGTCAATCAACCAAACCTAAATCTCTGCCCTAACATTTCCAGTTCTAAAAATGTTCTCTTGACTAATTCTAAGGACGGCTGCGGAAGAACAAGGAAACCCCATCACCAAGGGGTCACAACCCTGTCAATCAACCGCTGTTGACCCTAAATCTCCACCCTATCACTTCCTGGAAAATACTAGAAAGATCATTTAAATGTTCTCTTATTTTTCAGAACTGCTGCTAAAGTCCAGGGAAACCCCATCACCAGTAGCGCTCCTTCCACCGGCCTGGCCACGATTCTCACCGCCACGGCATTCTGTGACCGGATCTACATGTACGGCTTCTTCCCGTTCCACAAGCTGCCGCGGTCCAGGACACTCCTCCCCTACCACTACTATCCCGGAGACTCCATAGAGCCGATTTTCCTAGACTCTCGGCATCGTATGGACAAGGAGTACCGGTTCTTTCAGGACCTGCACTCACGGGGGGTGGTCAAGCTGCATGTGGGCAAATGTGCCAACCGGACTGTGGATTGAGCAGAGGACTATAAGGAGGATCGTTCGCTCATTCATTCGTTTTTTCTTTCCATACATCCATCCATTCCTTCTTCCCTTCATCCATCCATTAATTCCTATCTATTTGTTCATTCTTGTTCTGCGACCAGAAGCTACATATTGGAAAATGTGCCGAACAGGTTTTGAGCATAGGCGGTTCATTCACTTGTTCGATCGTTCATTCATTCATCATTCAAGCGTTAACGCTACAGATGTTACTTGCAGTGAACTGTCATCTTTGTCTGTACATAGTTCTATAAAACAATACAAGAGATCTGAACTTGACGTCATTATCATTTGTTTTATTTGTGAGCTACTGACCTGCCTTGTACCTGAACTATAACAGCATGGTTAATTGGCTATGCACTTCAAAACAAAGAAAAAAACATGTACAGCTGGAACTCTAGTTTTCTTTTAAAGCCATGGGATCTTCCTGAGACTCTACATTAGAGAAAGCTATAAGACAATGCAAGACCCTCGTCTTGCAGACCCTTGTCTATAACTTAGTTTTCTTTTCCTCTTTCTTTGGGATTTTTCTCACTCTCTGACTCTAGAACAGAGAACGCTATCAAACACTGTGCTACGAAATATGTAGAAAGGTTGAGGAGCCGCGCATGCGGAATGGGGGCCCGGAACTTGTTGGCGGCCAGGACGAAATCCGACACCACGAACAACACCGCGCCTGCGCAGGCCGACGCCCGGGGCCACACGGTGACGCCGTTACCATGGTGACGTAACCGTGACGCGGCCGTGACGTACCCGTGACGTAACCGTGACGCTGCAGCCACCGTCATGGTGAAGATCAGGACGACGTAGACGCCGCAGAGTGACGTCAGCGCGCCCTTTAACCCCGGTAGGATGTAGGTGTACGTCAGCACGGCCGTTGCCATGGTGACGACCGTGACGCCGTCCAATGAGATGCGAGTGACGTCAAACGCCAGGAGGTAGAGCAGCTGAGCCAGGGCGAAGGCCAGGAGACCTGGGGGAATAGAAACGTGCATATGACTACATTTGCTGTAAATACTATGGTTCAATAATTGTGAGGTAAGAGGAAGAAACATATGTTGATAGCCAAATGGTTAGAAACACGAAGGCACACACACACACACACACACACAAACAAACACAGAAATACACACATGCATACCGTCACGCATGCACACACACACACGCATGCACAATTATTGAACCATAGTATTTACAGCAAATGTAGTCATATGCAAACAAACGTGAACATGACTGCAATGACTGTACATGCAGTTTTACAAAGAAATCATACTGTATATTGATAGCCAAATGGTTTGAAATTATCAGGGAGAGAGAGAGAGAGAGAGGGAGGGAGAGATACACACACACACACACACACACACACACACACACACACACACACACACACACACACACACACACACACACACACAGATACACATACAGAGTAGTTGAGTACTTAATAAACTGAGTTGAGTACACGTTATTTGCACTAGAAAAGATTTATCCAGAGAAACCATTAAGAATATTCACCATAGATGAACCACTGTGGCGAGTGTTGCCAGTACAGGCAGAAGTCTCCCACTGCTGAAAACATCAGCCCAGCCGCTAGGAGGCGTGCGTAAGACGTGTGACACCTTTTCTCCACCTGTATGAAAGAAATACCATCATACCAATCACTGTTGTGAACTGACTTATTCCAACCATATCAAAATAAAGGGATGGATTCTTTCCTAACTACTCATGGGCTTAACGGTTTCTTGAATCATGAAAACAGGTTACTGGTGTTATCCAGAGAGGGGATTGAGTACGTAGATAGTTTCAGACAAGTTTCACATTTTGTATTCCACCTGAGCTAACTTAGTTACTATCATAACATGTACAGTGTTTGGGAATGTGACGACTATCCTCATGGGTTCCGTTTCCAGTTCTTAATCTAAAGTTGTAACTATATCAGCATTTCCCTGCAACTGTTAGGACACGTTTGTGCAAATGGCAGTATGTTACTTATCCTATCTATATCGTACAAGACATGAAATTAACGTAAAACCTTAAGACGTCGATGAAGCTTAGGCATCCTGAGGTAATAAGATACGCCAAAAAACAGTTCCTCAAGCAACTGGATATGATTTTGGAAACGGTCAAACGTTTCAGCTACCATCCATTACCTTTCGTCAGTGACACTGGAGACTTGTCAGAAAAGCAGGTTTATAACTACGAAATATTGACTGATAAAAGATCTTACCTGTACGAAAACGGCCAGGGTTGCTACCGGCAGACTTTTGAGCAGCGCCCCTACCAACTCGTTCGGTGTTCCAGTGTAAACAGACGTTAAATACGCTGCCATGGAAACAACGAATAACCCAAAAGTCTTCATTTTTTCCTCGGTAACTTCTTTACACAGTAATTGACCTTGAAAATAATGTAGTGTACGCAGAGAGGTACAGGTATGGCGACTAGCGTATTCTAGTGAACTTTGAACTGTCAAACAAAGAAAGGCCAAAGTTCACCACTGGTTCGGATTACTATGGGCGCGAAATTGCTATACAAGCTAAACAAGCTGTGGTCAGCAAAATACGTCGCCCCTTTTCGTTGCTTAATCGTAAACTGACTTCCCAACGAAAAGATTATTGGTGTAAAGGTGTCTTTATGTCCACCTGTCCCACCATGCCTTCCAAATTTTCAATTTCTTTCTTTATCACACATATTGTCTAAAAACAACGTGTACGCAAGTAAGAGGGGATAAACAATTGTGCATCTTCATTTTAATCATCAATAGGCAAGATTCAATAATCATTACATTAAGCAAGCTCCAATAATTCAAATGTAATAGATTTCAAGAGTCTCGATGTGAGAGAGAGATTTGAATAATTATATCTTAACATGTAATGGTCTCCACAACGCAAAAATAGGTATAAAGGAATGCTTTGTTATTAGGAAAAATTCCGAAACTTGTGATTAGCCCACTCGATTGTAACACTTCATCAAAGACTTGTGCTATCCCTTGTCATTTGAATAATTATGATATAGATATGTTAGGTTTTATTCGACATTAGGTCTTGTTCAACACACTTATTATATCGTTGTTACTCTCTTTATGTAGTTTGCCATACATTGTACCATGTGCAATTGTCGTGCAATAAAGTTCTTCTGTAAACACGAGCAAAGCCGCTGCCTTTTAAGACAGTCGTCTTGATGTTGTTATACCAGCGTTGTCAGGATTGGAGACGAGAGCGTTCACTCGACGATCAACCTTAGCAACCTTTGCACATGCACTGGAGGGAAACAAGAAAAGAAAGGGATCACTTTCAATAAGAGAAACAGTACGAGAGTATGACTAATCTGCCTTACAAAGACATATGGATAAATGACAATGGATAAATATATCTTTGTGAGGTTGTGTGGCGTAGCGGCAGAGTGCGCGACTCGGAACTAAGAGGTCCCGGGTTCGAGTCCTGACATGACACCGATCTTGTGCCTTGGGAAAGGCACTTTACACGACTTTCCTCACTAAACAGGTGAAAATAAGTATTGTCCTGTCATGTGTAGTCCCCCGTGTTGGTGGCGGCATTAATATAAGTTGATAAAACTTGCCTGTGCCGTCACCACGTCTGGTGATTACATGTTGGAATAAGAAAAATCTCTCTCCTTCTCCCCCTCTCTCTTTCTCTTTCTCTCTCTATCTCTTTCTCCTTCTCTCCCATTTTCTCTCTCCCACCCTCCCTCTCTCCCTCCCCTCCCCTCCTCCTTCTCTCTCTTCTCCTTCTCTCCACTCTCTCTCTCCACCCTCCTCTCTCCTCCCTCTCCTTCTCTCCACTCTCTCTCTCTCTCTCTCCCACCCTCCCTCGCTCCCTTCACCCCCCTCTCTCCTCTCTTTCTTGTCCCCCCCTCTCTCCATTGGCGGATCTTCGTAGTTCGGTCTTACTTTACAAGCATTTCATTACTGGCCAGAAAGGCATGTCAGTAAAGGTTAGTTATTCTTGTACTGACCAGACAGCACCAGACGAAGAGCCACGGCGGGAAGAAGATGCTGATGACGCAGTGCAGACAGTGGTTCACGCGGTCACGGCTGGAATAGTATAATGCAGATAATTAACTAGAAAATAATGACAGGAAAAGCAATCACCAAAAATTCAAGACCATAGCATGTTCACGACAATCGGATACAAAAGGAAGTTCTGCTGCAGTACCAAGTTCTGCTGCAGTACCAAGGTCATCCACCAGGAGGTCCATATTTGACCTTGACCTCCGTCTTCCTAAGACCTACCAGCATACCAAATATCATCACAGTCCATGAAGGCGTTCTGAAGTTATACTGACTACAAATGTCCGGAAACACAAACACACACACACACACACACACACACACACACACACACACACACACACACACACATACACACAAACGCACCAAAGATAATACCTCCATTTTTCATGGAGGTAATTAATAAATTAATTAGTTATTCCGTTCATTCATTGAATCATGTTCTCTGTACCTTTCGTTCTGTATGATGACAGTTTGCGGCTGGGGTTGAGCCATGACCACGGTGGTCTGTTGCTGGGCGGCCGGGGGTGGGGGCCGTACCCCTGGGGCACATATCCCGGGGGTCGGGGGTGGCCCCATCCCCAGGCTAGTGTATAAAACAGAGAAACACAGTCAAGTAACAAAGTAATAACTAGATCATAGAAAAGTAACATTTGCAAAGCAAATGCATAATGTTTACCTTCGGATATGGTCTGCTCTGTTAATTCTTACTCAACACATTCACATACATGTACATGTATATGGTGACAGGAGCCTAAATGCCTACTATGAAATTGCAACATTGTATGTAATCCAACACCAGTTACTATGGTGACAGACGTGAAACATAAGAGGCCATTGGCCCGTTGAAGTCAGAGGTTAGTGTTTGGAACAGAAGAAGAAGAAGAGGAAGAAGAAATGGAGCAAAAACAATATGTTTTCCTTCGGTAAACATAATAAAGTTGTTTCAAAGCGATCGTGATATTTCCATGTATAAAGAATTAAATAGAAATGTATGATATCGTGAGAAAGTATAAAATAATAGAGTATGTGCAAATGACTGACTACTCTACATAATCGTATCCAAGAAAATAATGGTAATGGTATTTTATCTATAACAGTGCCAATTTATTTAGTTCTATCGCTGAATAGGCTATGGACAGGATCAGACACGGTTCTGGATAGTCTCCGTGTATCTAAGAACATAGATTTGCCCCAGGCATGGTTCTAGATACGCGTGAGCTATCAAGCTAACATATAAATCGGGGTTCTGGATAAAGCACGGTTCTGAATAAAGCACG